TGATGCCGGGTCCCCGATGACCGGAATAACTGCACACGGCAAGTAAGATACCCAAGTGTACATCGGGGAGAACGACTCGCTCACTCTCTTCCGCTGCTAGTTTCTTGGCGTTGGCTTCTGCCCGAGTCATGCCATATACTGTGTGCCCTGCTCGCGCGAGAGCTTGAGCTACAGGAAACCCGATGGAACCCGTGGACCTAATAGAGACGTAGTGGGGTCACTGCGTCAGACGTTGCCGGAAAACTCACCCTAGAACAATGACTTTCATAATGTTGGTCACTTGAGGAACTCGCAGGATGGAATGAAGACGGCGACAGAAGCTCGACTATGGACTTTATCACTACATGCGTGATGACACATGGTGATGCGATGACAAATTGCGTAGGAGAAGAATCGCCGAGAGCATTGGCAGGCTATTCCTAGAGGGTGTAAAGAGGGTCAGACCGGCGGAAGTAAAGGTTCTCAAAAGAAAAGAGGTGTCGTATGTACTACGATACAATCGGATTTGCCCTCGACGGCTGATTCCTGGCTGAGTTTGTACTTACTCACTCACTGCATACCGCGAAAGCGACAGGATGTTACAGAGCAGTCACCGTAGGTACAGCTCTTCGTCAGGACTGAGGGAGGGGGAGAAGATAAGATTAATCAGGTGTCATTCCTTTTCCAAGTTAAAACACCCACCCGGGTCTGATGGCTTTAAATAACGGTGGCCCGATGATCAAGGCGAAGATAGGACTGATTACCAGACATAGACTTAAGCATGAGATGTCTCTTTAAAGAGACTCAGACGTACTCACAGCTTCGAGGTCGGGTCGCAATCCGAGCTATGTGCTCCAGCCGCGTTGTGCTCCCAATATTTGAGGGAGGACAAGGAGTGAATCTCGAAGCCCATCCACCCACTTTAATTTTCCTCAGCCTCACTAGTGAGTGTACATACCAACTATCGAATGAGATCCCGGCAGGGGAGTGGCTCGAAGGATAGATGTTAATTGGACGTTGACATTATTCTAACCTAGTTCCTGATTTCAAGGAGAAGTGTCGTCGAGATGTCGAGGAGCAATCGCCGGCGAAGCCGAGTCGAGGGACGGAGAAACGAACATTATGAATGATTTTCTGCGCCCATCGACGGCCCACTGAGGGTCCAATATTCAATGGTTCGTCTACTTCCGCTGTACCAACCTACTGTCATACTCTTAACGAGGATTGCCATTGACTATCATAGACCGCCTGAGACAACGCGTGGTGTCACTGTTGGTGCGACGGTCCGTTACAGGGCTTGCACCTGTTGGTGCGTGATCAGTAACACGTAACGCGTAACAGCCTTCTTCAAACGGCGCTCAATTGGCACTGGCCTTCAGTCGTGCTCCTCTGACTGGTAAGGGTTTTCTCCTGCAAAATTCAAGGACTCACAATTCTGAATGTGCTGATAGTGGAATATGTCTATCACTGCGCCACAAAGCGATGAATCCGTCCAAGACTCCCATCCTTCAATCTACCCAAAGCGACTTCCCATCGAGGTTATCGATAGTATCATTACCGAAGCCGCCAAATCTTGGGGTAATCATTTGAAGGTATATTCCCGTGTCTGCTGGGAATGGAATCACATTTGCCGCCCCCGATTGTTCAGTTCAATGCGCGTGAGGTTCTGGGACGCTCGCAACCTTTCCTTCCTCCAATTCACCGCACCGCATCTTTTCAAATATCCTCAGCGCCTCTACGTTGACTGTGGGTCTGATTACTCCAGCGCGCCAGCACCTCCTTGGCACGCAGACGCCCTCGGCCAATTCACGAATGTGTCCTCATTGACACTTAACACTCGGAGAGCGCAGATCCTGCCGGACGCTCGTGTGCCCGCGATCATGCGCTTGCTCGCCAAAGCCCCTGTTCGTCAGCTCACCTTCTCGTCCTGGGGCTTTTTGGAAGGCGGCGAGGATCTACTCCATGCCCTCTCAGCTTGTTCGTCCACGCTGGAAGAGCTCACATTCGAGACATGTCACGTCCAGCGCGGCTCCGCCTACCTTTGCAGGGCGTTGACGGAGCCGGTAAACATTGGACTCCCCCCGGTTGTCCGCCTGACTGCGCTGCGCGCGCTCAAACTACGGAATGGATGGCACCATCACCCGCAAATGCATCGCCTCGAGATGCCAAACCTCCGTTCACTGTTTTGCGATTACGACGAGGGCGACCCTTTCCACCATATATGGGCGACGATTCCGGGCTCCCTCTCGGAGCTTACTCTGCACAGTATGTGATTTCTGCGCTTTCCCTCCTCAATGTCCGCGTATCAATGTCTTTTTAAGTTCCAGTCGAGGTGACGCCGGCTGTCCCCACCTTCAGCGAGCATGTCAAGCCCTCTGTGTTGACGATCAAACTAGCCTATAGGTACCGACACGAGCCATCATTCGCGCCGCTTATGGAATGGCTCACGGACTGCCTTGACCGCCCGCCATTTCTGGACAACCTTCGTCTCTTGCACATCAGCATGTTCGTCACAGCAGAGCTGGATGAAGATACACTGGACGAACCCCGTTATCCGACCTACGAGGACTACCGCAGATTGTATCGCGTTTTACGGCCGCTGCGGGATGGTGCACTGCGGCGCGTCAGTCTCGCGCTGCCACTGTACTCACACATGGACGGGCGCCCAGAGGCATACTCTGCAGAGAGGACGGAGTTGGAGGTGGCGAAGCTCAAGGACGTGTTTGGCCCGTTGTTGGAAGGCCGGGTGTCTATTGATGTCACGATCACTCAGCAGAGTATAGTGTTAAGTAAAGCTGTTTTAAAGTATGATCTGTAAATGCGTGTAGAGAGGACACTGTGCCAGCGATCACTTGTGTCTTGCCACGAAAGTTCTGGGGGCGAGCCTCTCGGATGTCCAGTACACCTTCAATGGATGCCACGTACCCGCACCTCTCGTTCGGCACGTTGCGCGTCATGTCTTGCAGGCTTCTGTCTACTTGCACGGCGCAACATCATACACACCAGGCAGTATCACCGCTGATTACCAAGTCGCCGATACCCAGCGTAAGACATAAAGCAGGACAAGATCATGCTCGATAGCTGCGGCGTTGAGGCGCTAGATTATCTCGATGTAGGTGTCGTATTGAGCGGATACGGCACAGGCGCGTCTGGTTTCTAGCATCATCTATGATTATCTTTCTGGCCGCCTGGAATGGGGACCATCGGCGCGAAATCCAGCTAGTCGTGCTGCGTCCCCCAGAAGCTCTTGGTAGGCAGATATATGGAACTTAGGACGCATCGTACGCACTCTCATCCTCCGATACCATACTTATTCCTCCGCCGTCTTGTCCTCATCTCCATCTGACGCATACCGCGCTCGTAGGTCTTCGAGTTCCGGAGCGACGCCCTGCTCTTCCGCCCTCAACCTCAAGAAAAGATCCAACGGCGCGAGGACGATTGCCGCCGACCAGCTTCTACCTCGACGCCGACCGGTTTGTCCATTTCTATACGCTAGACCGGGAGTCTCATGCCACCGTCTACGCATACTCTGGTTGGAGATATTTGGAGATGACATGACGCGTTTTGTGTAGCTCCGAAAGTCAAATTCATCACGAGTACGCGCCAGACGCTGGCGTCGGAAGTGGTGCGACCTTACGGCCCGCTCACGCGCGAACTTCACAGTTTCTTGACGCACATACTTCGAATCCATCCCGACGGCCGTCCTACCGCGAAGCAACTACCGAAACACCCTCGATTGCTGCACATGTACGTAGATCGTCTCTGGCTGTGCTCGCATGCAAGGTAGTGTCTGCGCCGGTCTGCCTGCGTCAAGGCTCAACGGGGCTTCGGGCGCCGCGTGCCTACGACCGCGTATTGGACCCTCCCGCTATCCACAGGCGTTGAGTCTGAGCGTAGTGGAGACGGTCTGTCGAGTGCCAGTGGCGTGTCATCAGAGCCCGAGCCACCGTCCACGCCATCGCCATCGCCATCGACATCGCCATCGACATCGTGCGCGGCTCCACCGACCGGATCACGCGTCTTGCACGCGATGGTAGCGTATCCACTCCGGTCCATCTGCGCGCGCTCAGTAACCCTCGTCACATACACTCAAGTGATGGAGAGCCGCACCTGGCGTAGCTTCGTTCTGGGGGCGAACTGTCGATCTTCGGAAGCATGAACATGAATGGGAGGCTCGCATTCAAATTCATATTCAAGGCGCTCATCCACCAGCAGCTGCACTCGCACGCATAAAGTGAGCGTGGCGACGTCGTGCTCCTGATGAAATTCGAGAGCACTTTGCCCTCTCCAGTCTGCGGCAGCGAGCGTGTATAGATCGCCGAAATCAGCGGACGTTGATATGACTGAGTTTTGGCTGCTTGGAGAATCAGATCCCGCTGTTCGCAGCTGCCACCACTTTAGCTCGGTCCTGCTGCTGGTGTGCAGCTCTCTGCGACGGGGGCGTGGGGGTGTTTGCATGGCGTGGGCATAACCGTGAGCGGGCTACGGGCACGAGTTGGTGGAAAAGCGCGTACATTGGTGTTTGGAGACGCCATTCCACGCAGCCGTCCGATCTTCGCCCGTCCTTCCTCGTCGCAGTAAACGCCCCGTCCACTCCGAGGAATACGCAAGTCGTGGTCTTTGTGGACGCGCTATCCTCGGCTCTGCAGTTTTGAGCCGTATCTGCACAGCTGCGTTTACGACCGTGATGCTGGTCAGGTTCTGCATACGAAGGGCGATGGCGAGCGCTACTGACCTTCTATAAAGACACTGGAATGATCGCTCAATCTCAAGGGCTCGGGAAACATTCGTTGAGATGAGGAGGATGTAAACGGTATCCGTATGTATTACCGAGGCGAGGCCCGTGCGATGGCGATGTAAAGGAGAGGGAGACGAGTGGTATCACGATCGGAAACACGATGAAACACACCCTGAGCCAGCTCCTGGCCTCGATGTACACGCAATAAACGGAGTACCTTTACATTCAGTTATGTAGCAATCAGTAAAAAAAATTCCTCTTTTGCGACGATGGAGAGCCTGAGTGGCATCTCCGTGGCTTGAACACGGGACCTTCAGATCTTCAGTCTGCTGCTCTCCCAGCTGAGCTAAGACGCCTATCCTTGTCATCGCTACGAGTGCCGTCACCACCGTCAAGCCGTCAGTAATTCATTAACCATCGTTCAACTTCCACCAATATTGCCAGTGCGCGTTTCAGCTAGTATATTTGGCTAGTATTTACGAGTAGTTGATGAGCACATGGTACGCCGCCAGGCTACAGCGCACGTCTTGCGCCCCAAGATTGCGCCATCACTCGCTCTAACCTCTCGCCTGCTCCCGAATCCCGGCACTCGGACTGTGGACGGTAGGAGAGACGACGCAGTCACGCATGTAGCCGCAGAAAAAAAAACTATCCCCGGAGAAAACATGGCGGGGGGTGCATAGCATGGCAAACGAAAAACGAAAAACGATATATGTTGATCTGGGAATTGAAATGGCGGAAGTGACGCGTTGACGAGGCGGTTTCGTTGGTATGTGTCGTTGGCATGTGGTATGTGGTATGTGGTATGTGGTATGTGATATGTGGTATGTAGGTCGAGTAATAAAGGAGAGTCGGGACGACTATGCTAATAAAGTAGGGCAGAAGTAAAGTTTCGACAGACACGCCCGGATATATGATGTCCAAGACTCCACGATATAAAATGTCCGAGACTCCCCGACGTATGGTGTACGGTGTATAATGTCCCAAAAAGGGAGATATGTACGCGCAGTTCGCGCAGTTCGCATAGAGTAAAGAGAGTAGTGGTGGCCTCGTCGCCCGTTATCTCCAATTATCTCCGTCATCTAATGCATTTATGATGCACGACGGCGGCGTGGCCGTGAGGGATGTATGCAACCCAGGGGGGATGTAACTTAAGGAGGGACGCAGTCCAGGGCATGCACGGGCGAACAGAGAGGCGCCGTCCAGCGTCTCGCAGTGCGCCGAAGCGGAGGACCACACGTATGCACACGCGCACGTTGAATATTGAATATTTGAATAGCAGTGATTCTTGACTGCCGAGGAACGTTTCCGTTTCGGACGCGCTGGACCAGGGGGTATATGCGTATGACCAAATGACCAGATAAGCGGGGGAAGTAGGGGAAGGAAGGGAAGGAAGGGAAGGAAGGGAAGAGGAGAGTCTGGGTGATATGGGTGATGTGGGTAACGTGGGTGGGTGGTATGTACCGAGGATGCTCTTAGAGATCAGAGTACGAGCCGTCCACGCTGTCGTTTACGTTGAAGGACGGTCAATTGGGGTTTGACTTCGATGCATGGTGGATCGGTGGATGGTCCAGGATAAGGTCGGCGTGTATGCGCGGGCCGTCCACAAAGCTGACGGGGAAGTGAGGTAGTATTTCTTGCGGCCGGGAAAGGATAGCACTGGTACGGCGCATCGGCATCGTAGATAGCTAGGCAGGTCCAGCGTAAGCGTTTGGATTGGTGCAGAGTGGGATGAGGTCTGCATGTATGCGCGGCCCGATAGCTTCCCGAAAACCTTAGGCTCAAGTTTCGGGATACGGACGACGGCCAGGTTTGCAAGCATACGCGCAGCCCATATGCAAAGCTGTCGGGGAAAGGTGGTGTGGCGTGGTGTCTCTTGCGATCGGGGGCATGCCGAGGCGGGGTGGTACGGCGTATCGAATGAGAAGTGGGCGGTTTGGTAGGAGCAGGTGGAAGCGGACACGCGGGGGGACTAGTGCAGAGTGCGACCGAAGAGTAGACTGGTGACCAGCCCGCCTCATTATATCGAGGGTGGTGCAAGAGAGTCCTAGTCAGACTTTGGGCGCGAGCCTAAGCTTCGCTTGTGGACGACGGCCGGGTTTGCAAGAACACGCACGCTCGCGTTCCGTGCACAAAGCTGTAAGGGAAAGGTGGTGTGCCGTGGTGGATCTTGAGATCGGGGACATGCCAGGGCGGGGTGGTAGGGCGTGTCGGGATCGTGGAGGTAACTGCGAATTAGGCAAGAACGAGCGGCGGGGACTAGTGTAGAGTGCGATCTAAGCGCTGCCCGCCTAATTGAATCGAAGGCGAAGGTGGGGGCGTGTTGAGATCTGAGAGTCGATAGAGGCAATTCGAGTGGTGGCCGGGGAGGGAAGACGCGGGCGGGATGGAAAGCCTCTCACCGGAGCGACTCTCGTTATCCTCGCGGGGCTCTCTAGCCTACTCTTCGCAGAAACAAACCATTCACGCTAACCGAACCCCTACTTGAGCTTGCTAGCTTGAACATGTGAACGCCTGAACGCGCCGCCGCGGTGGGCGACTTGTGAGTTGCCTTAGGTGCCGAGGTCCTTTATTGAATAGGCATATATGCACCCTGCGTTCAGACTGCAGATAGACATGAATGGCGAGAAACGGGGATAGTCTGATGACGCACCTTGCTCTCAACCCACCCCATCACCCTATTGACCGAACACCTGGAAATTCGAGGCTTTGAAGAGCCTTGATGCCCTGTTGGTTTTCACGGTCCTACTGATCGGCACTCATCATGCATCAGCATTCACCCTGAGGTCGTCGACCCCGGAAGGGCATGCAAGGGACGGAATACATCGACGAGGAAGTTCGAAGAGGAGGGAAAACTGAAGAGGATATAGGAGCACATGGGTGGCAATGGCGCGCGGGGGTGGACGGTTTTGTCAATGTTGATCGACTCCTCGGAATACTCGCGTTCTCCGGCGCACAGACATGTCAATCCGTAGGCCTTAGGTCGGGATGACAGATACGAGAGCGGAATACTGAGTATCTGGACGGCGCGGCTTTGAAGCAAGACCAGGTAAGCACCCTAGCTACGCGAACGAGATGTCAAATACTCACTAGCACTGATGCACTCGACGCGTCTCTCGCAGCTTCCGTTGCATGGCGCCGCCACCCATCCTACCTCTCGCTACCCCCTGAACTCGCCTTCATCTAGCTATCCTCCGTGGGTAGTCACGGAATCAATCCAATGCTCCAGCTGAGTGAGTCGTTCTGTCTTGGATGCTCCACGTTCATCGTCGTACGGCTAGGCTAAGGGAGAGAGAGAGTTCAACGATTGAAATAGAAACAAAACTAAAAACTTGGAAGAGAACTCACCGCGGAGGCGGGTGTCGTCGTGTCGGTGGGATGCCCGATTACATTGGTTGCCACTCAAAAGGAGTAGAGAGCGCCTAATGCATGCGCAGCCTAACGATGTCGATGAGCGTCGAACTTCTTGCGCATGGTGTCCCGCGGAGCTGGTCTTCGTCCAGTGTCGCGGAGTCGCATCATGCCAACGTTGTTTGGCCCCGAGCTCTAAGCCAAACAAACCAACACCAAGATGCTTCGAAGTGCGAACACACTTCCAAGTTCTTCAATATCCAATCAGCGTCTATCACAACGCTCACAGTAGCGTAGGTTTATTGTATATTAGCCGCAAGTATTGTAAAAGTAAACTAAATACCTTAACATTACCTTTATGTAAGTTATCAATCAAAGTATGCAATTATTTGCTTCCATACCTTTGTTCATAGTATTATTGACTTATCATAAAAGTATGAAACACGAGTTTCAAGATACTTTACCACGCTACTTTTTTAGTAATTTTAATTAAAGTATTATTCAAGTATCAAACCCCATTTCAGGTAAAATACTTTCGGGTGTAGTATCAAACCCCCGTTTTCAATTTTGTGTCTCGGTAACGTAGTTCCATATCTTATAGTAATGTACTAACAAGGTACGGAACCTGACAGTGGCCATGATACCTTTTAAATACATCCAACCACCTGTAGCAGTAGTGGTTATAGATCATATACTCTAATAACCGTGTACCCGTGATATATCAACGCCTCTGACTACCACGGCCCACCAATGCCTATTCCTTGATATATCACCTCGCTGATAGCACGTGCCATATCATGTGATGATCTTGTCCACCCACGGGGTCCGGGAGCATTCTCCTCATCGTTGGGCACGACGCCGCCCCATTGCCATATATGCTCGCTGTGTGCCTATCTCCTAGTCTGGAAAGAATCCACAATCCCATTTGACACAATCTGTCAGAAGTCGTTTCATTGCCTGGTACATACTACCTACATACACTCACGAGTCAACTGGTGACCTCCGGCACTGGTAATCTGTCGACGCGGCTGCCAGCCTCGGTCAACAATTCGCCCGCAGACACCACACCCTGACCCATCCTCATATACTCTTCAATGTTCCTCCATGCCTCTGTACAAGTCGCAGACAATTGTTCACGGGAGTGCTTCTGTCGCAAAGCATATGCACGTGCGCCACTTGAGATCGAATCTTCGTCTGCGCGTGCCTTCCATGTCTGCGCCTGCCATGTATGAAATTGGATTATCCGGCGCATTTCCTCTTTCAGCAATATGCATTCCTCTTGCCACCTATGTGCGCGTGCCCTCGATTTACACCACTCAATACGAAGCGCTGACAGACATATGAGTTCAACGAAAACATATAAGCTATGTCGAGAAAAACATACCTTCACTCATTGTTTCCGATGTCATCTCGTTCGGGTTTGATCGCTGGGTCACCCATATCCACGAAAGGGTTCGTCGGCCTTCAGAACTACTTGCATCATCACCCGCTCTGAGACTGCGGATGTCCGAGTCCTCCAAAGGCAGTAGTGTTGTAGCCCACCCTGTCTTACTAAGGACTTCACTAAGTACGAGAAGTATCGCTCGGTTCGCTCGGTATCTGCCGCTGATAAACTTGATTCGTGCCTGAATGTTATTGATTAGGGTGGTACTCCGTGTGTTGGGCTGCTGGCCGCGAACCAGGCGATCTTTGGATTGGTACATTGAGCTGACTATAAGAAGTTGTCGTCGGAGCTCGCTCAGGTTGTCGTGTGCCTGCCCACATCGGAGGCGCCATTCGTAATCATGGAACGAGGTGTCAATGTGAATGTCGGGCGGAAGGCTGGAGGGAAGCATAAGATCGACGTCCTCCGGTGATGTAGCTGTGCCAGCGGCAGAAACACGACGCCTGTATAAGGCGACTGCGGGAATAAGAACTTCTTGGGTAGTTTGCCAGGCTACGATGCGACGCATTAGGCGTGTGCGGCGATCCGTGATCTGTGTCGTCTGAGTCTCGGTTGGACTAG